AAGACAGTGGATAAAATTACCCTCTACTATTACTAAGAAACAGTATGGTTCTTCAAAACACCCACAGGAAACTACTATAGTCCATCAGTTCCTGGTTACATGATTGCTATGAAACAATTGCAAAAGCTCTTGATGCTGATGTGAGAAACTTGATTGCAACATTGCAACATCTGTTTTTACTGGCCCTCCATGATATGCGATGTACCAACACAGGGTAAGAAGTGGGGCAAATTGTGACTTTGAAGTAGCTTCTTTCTTTCTTCTTGAAGTTTAGGGTTTTCATCTGGTGATGAGAGAGTCAGTGAAAAAAGCTGATGTTTTCCTCTGCCATTTCTATGATCCTGTGCCACTGTGCATGATCACTGGTACAGCTGCTGAGTTTTATTGCAGGAATGGCTGTACTTCATAGTGTGCATATAGATTACTTACAGATACTCCTTTGCACCAGACACATACTTCTACAGTTCACTTTTAATGAGGCAGGAAAACAGGAACACAATACTTGTATTTTTGAATATGGACATGTCTTAGGATGAAAACCATTATCCTAATATGATCTGAAGCTATTCTTTAGTTTTGGCCACTGGAGTAGTTGCTATCATGTTAATACGCATGTAAATAAAAAAGCTGTAGGAAATAATTCTTAGATATTACAGAGTTTCAGCCAAAGTCAGGTCCAAGATATTTCCTGTTCTAGTCACAAGGAACAGTACTTTATGTTAGTTGATCTGTCCTTATCTCTGATCTTAACCTACCCACATTCATGTTTTTCTATTTCTGCTAAGAATATTAGCCTATGCAATTTACAAATACTTGATATCAGTTATATCATTAAAAACTAAACTTTAGCTTAAAACTCAATTTCCTATACCTACCTATATTGCATTAGTGGCTCAATATTACTTTCATAAGATTTTGGTAAGAGTCACCCCAGCCTTAGAATGAGGCCCAGCAATAAATACTAAGCATCTTCTTACTTAGTTAGATAGTTAGAAAGTAACACATTGCCACTGTCCCAGCACTATCCTGTGTCCCAGTGTTCTAGTACATAAATTGTCTTAAAGTTGAAAAAATTACACCATTTGTAATTTTTGAAGAATATGATTAATCATGTAACATTCAGTAACAGTCATTATTGAAAAAGTAAGACAAGAACAGCCTTAAATTCTTGATTTTCTTTGACAGCTTTCCCTAACCTAGCATTTAATCTGCAGGAAAGAGAAAAAAAAACCATAAACTTATGTAAGAGAAGAAGAGATCAGAATATGCCGTATAATATGCCTGGATGCCTGGGGTTTTAATTAGAAAAATAATTTAGAAAGTGAAGAGTAATGTAATTAAAAAGTACTTAAATTGGGCCTACATCCTCAACCCAACCAACAATTTTTAGAGAAACCAATATATAACATGGGACTTTCCCCATACCTGATTTTTTTAAAGAGGAGAAATTAATGTTATGCATAAATAAGGACACAAAAAAACAATTTCTTCTCATGTGATAAAGTCTATAGCCATCCCTAGGATAAATAAGAAATTAGGTTTGTTACACTTTGCTTATGACTATGTATCAAACCAATGAAAGTAAAGAACTCACCCTTATCAGGCATAGATTTCCTGGAAGCTCTTCTGCCACATAAAGATAAAAGCAATAATTGTTACCTCTGGCTTAGCTCAATCAAGCAGTCAGCAATTTCACATATCTGTTGCACAGAGAAACTGAAACCTCAGTTTTCACTCTGAAACAGGTTTGTTGTTTTTTTTCATTGTACAAAGGAGGAATAATTAAAGGAGTACTTTTTAAATAGATACTCACTTTGTCCTTTATATCAGCCTGAAAGAGTCTCTGCCCTCACAGGTAGGAATAGGCACAGTTCTCAGCACACTGGACATTCCCTACCTACAATTGAGCTGCCCTACTTCCTGATTTCAAAGCTGCATTTTTGTAATATTCTAATCGATATATATTTGCAAATTGTTGTCATCATTGCTTGGAGATCATGACATCAGATGCAACCATGATACCTCTTGAAAGCTTTTCAGCCTCACAATAGCTCTGCAGTACAGAAATGATAGTAATCTGTCATCCATCACTGTATTTTTCTTAGCTAATTGTATTATTACTGAGCAAATCCTGTGCATGCAAACCCTACAAGAGTAAGTATTAACAATGTTAAAACCAACATTCTCTTTTCCAGTCATCTTCTTTCCTTTTTTTTTCCAGCACCTAAGCCTAAACTTCTAAAGTTATTTGAAGGTCTTTCCTTTACTGTGTTCACTGGGCTTTTTTCTCTGCTTTTTTTTTTTTTCATTTCTCCTCTACATCCTCTACAAAGGATACATCAGCAGCATGCTTAATACATATTTCCTGAGTCCTCTTAGTGATGGCTGGTAAAAACTATCACACAATATTGCATTCTTGGTTATCTGTGTGCGGAAATCTAAGATAGTGAGATACAAATTCCTATTGCATCAAATATCCGTATTTTAACAATATTTATCTGGTCTACCTGGTTTTGATTGTGTGAATAATGTACAGCCAAAATCGTAAACACCCAGTACAAAGGAAGCCTGCAGTCCTGACTGAAGTCAATAACTATCAATATGTTGCCAGAATGACTTGATATCACCTGTCCAGACATTTTGATCAATCTGAACACTTATTAATGCTGCCAGGAAGCAATTTCTGATTCATTTGCTCTGTCAGGTGGCATAGATGAATAAATTGTGTGAGACAAGTCACCTTCTCCTATATCCTTGCTCAGACAAAATTACCACATTTGAGTAAAAAAGTAATCTCAAAATATTTTTCACCACTTTTTAAATAAAAGGATTAATTTTATTTAAGAAATTATTGTACAAATTTGGAAAGATAGAAAATGCATGAAAGTGATAAGGGCAAGCAGAACAGAACAAAAAAGAGATGATAAAATGGTCTTTTGGATCCTTCACTCACTCTTTGAACTGTGGTCTCATGTATGCAAAGCCTGGTAGTTCTTTGTGACATTATGTTGTTAAAACCTGATTATTAGAGAGAGATGCCTCTACCTGAATTAAGATGCAAACAAGACCATATGCTGAAGTCAATAGTATGGATTTTATTTAACAGTAAATATTACATAGAGAGAGATAGAAAGAGATAGAAAAGGGGATGGGGGTAAGAAAGAAAGTGAGAGAGAGACAGGTTAAGTAGAAAGATGGTCACCACTCTGTGGATCTGGATGTCATCCTGTTGGTCCTCCTTACCCTGACTTCTCGATGGTGGGGTCCCGAGGTTGTTCAAAACTTTTCAGTATTTATACATTTTAGCAAACAAAGGATTCAATGCTCATTGATTACATAGTTCTCTTATTCTATTGATTAAATGAATCCCATGCTTAGTCTCTCTCTTCTTTTGAGCCAGTGGGCCTCAAGTCTCAAATCAGTGGCCTATGGCCTCCCCACACTGGACCCAACCAGAGCCAAACTTTGGCACAGTTGCTGAGCTGGCCTTCCCCCTGGACTCCTTGCAGTGATGCATACTTTTCCCCCAGCCTTTTTTACCTTTCCATAGGCCTGAGATAATCGGGCAATAATACACCTTTATCTTATCCCAAGTTCAGGTGACTTAACTCACAATTCAATTTCCTTAAGGAAAAAGGAGGCATATTTGGGCAGCAGAGAGTGGTGAGCTTTGGTGTTCATAGATGAGCAGTTGCTTCTTTGCACAATTTGCTGCAGTGGGCAAAGTCCTTTGGTGATCTTAAAAGTGTTTGGGGTGACTGTGGTCTTTAAGTCTCTTACTCTGATGCCCACTTAATTACCAATGAGGGGCAACTTTGCCTTTAGGGATGGATTAGTTCCCATGTGTGAACAACAGCTCCAGTTCTTCAGGCTGTGGCCATGCTCCTGTGTAGAGCTACTCATGAGTGCCAAGCAGAATGAACTTGTAGGAACTCATGGCTCAGGACCCTCAGCTCCAGGACACATCCCTGCCCATCTCTGCCCACCTGTAGGTGCCATACTCTCCAGGAAAAGAACATTCAAGATTATGGAAGTGAAATCACCTTATTTCTCCCACCAGCTATTACTCGAGGGAGTCTGCTATCCTGTGGCCCAAAGAGCAGAAGGTAATCTCGTGGGGCAGCATCTAGTGGTGGCTGAGGAAGGAATGGCTCTGGCTGTGCCAGGTTTTAGTTTAGCTGTGCCCAGCTCCTAGGCAGTGTATGAGTAACCTTGTAGTCTCAACCTACATGCCATAGAATGTCCCTGCGTGGTACAGAATGGCCTGAGTGGGGTGGGGTGCTTGCATGACATTTTGACAGCCCTGGGTGTCCCACATTTTAGCTGTGAGCTCTAAAAAAACCCCTTGGATCCTGGCAATGATAACTGGGAAGACGTTGTTCTGTTAAGACTACTGATGTCCTTTCCTGAATGTCGGGCTGCAAAATAATAAAATCTTCCAGGAAACCTCAAGGTTTGTGGGTGTTGCTTTGTCAGGTGCGTGTTGCCACATTTAGGGCATGCTGCCAAGGGTGGGGTGCATCTGGATATAGAGTTTGTTCCTGGATTTGGGCAATGCTGCCAGGTATAAGGCTTATTTCAGGCTCAGGGGGTGCCACTGAACTTTTGAGAACTGTTAAAATCAGCAACTGTTAAAATCATCATCCAGTGGAAGCAAGCCCTAAATCATCAAGGTTGGTTTTGGGGGTGCACGCTGTTATGACCCGCCCCAGGAAAAAGGGGAGGGGGGTAACTCAGGTTCTTATCAATAATTCCCTTGGGGTGGATTAGAGTGAAATGACACTGAATAATCGGTGTCTGAAAACATATATTGGTAAGGTTTATTTTAACAATTTTGTATCAACAGGTATGCTAGCAGTTTGGGTGTTGTCACATTGTTATGTGACATAGAGATAACCTTTGCGGGGGGAGAAAATGCATAGGGGAGAGAAAGACAGGATAAGAGCAAGGGAGAGTAAGGAAAAAGAAAAGCTGAGAGTGGACAAAACGTGTATAGTCACCACCCACGGGGTCCAGCGATGACACTTGGAAGTTGTCGCTTCCATGTCTGTCAGCTGAAGTGGTGACCTTGATCTGCTGGGGGTGAAGGAGAGAAGCCCCCACACGCCAAGAAGTTATGAGTTATTATATCCATGGTGAGTATCATGGGGCATATCTCGAGCCTCCAAACTCTCCCTGGGCCTGTACAGAGTTTTTGTGTCTGGCCTGGTTCCTGCCTTTCAAGATTGGCAGAGGGGGGGATGGGCTTTGATGGGCCATCAGAGGTACAATACAAAAGTCAAAAGCCTGCAAACTTGGCTCTTCACTGGAGGGAGGGACGGGCCCAACTGCCCATCAGAGGTACAATGCAAAGGTCAAAATCTTGCAAGAGTCACCTAAAATGCATAAATCATCAACCATTTCAGTCTCTGACACACGCAGATGGGTGATGGTGATGCCACAGCAGACATGGTGGCACCATCACCGAGGCCTGTTTCTGGGGCACCATGGAGGTGGGTGGTGGTGGTGCCATGGCAGCCACTATAACCTCATTGCCAAGGCAATAAGGTGTTGCTGGGCATCATTGTGACGTGGAGAAGTGATGAGAGAGAGGACGGGGGAGGAAGGAGCTTACCTTCCGCCCTTTGCTCGGATGCATCCTGCTATTCTCTTATGGCTGCCAAAGTAGAGTCAAGAGCAAAAAGCCCGGTACTGCTGTGGTAGAGACTCTTCAAGTGCTGAATGTTGATGTGCACCATATTGACAATGATGCAGCAGGACCTTGACTCGAGGGAGCAAGGTAAGAGCGAAGTCTCCCCTCCCCACAGCTCCCCATGGCTGGCAGAGGGGGTGCCAAAGCAGTGGCAGGGGAAGACGGGAGCTGCCCAACTGCCCTGGAGCAGTGTCTCTCCTCTTATGGGTCAGCAGGGCCTGGACTGGGCAGTGGGCACCTTCAAGGGCACCTGTGCCTGCCCTGCCCTTCAGCCTGCCCAGAAGTTACAGAGCAGGGCTCTGGGGTTGATCCTGCAGGGACACTTCTCCAGCCCCACATGAGGTACTCACACGTGGTGCCATTCACTTTCTCTCTCTGCAGTGTGCATGCTGTGTTGCCAAGCAGAGGTGGATCCAAATATTTGCGGGTGCAAAAAAGTGAGGAAAGGGCTCTGTTTCCACACTTACTGCGTGGTAAGTTCTCGTGGGGCTCCCTTCAGCTTTCTGCTGAAGACAGACCATTCCTTGTTGACCTAAGGAATTCTGGGTCTTCTCTGTAGTTCCTTGCTAGCGAGACTTTTCTGGATGAGACCTTAAATGGGTTTTGCATTTCGGACATCAAGTACGCAATCCTGGAAGCATCCAAGAAGGTCAGGCTGGAACTGGCAAGACCAGGAGGTTTGGTCCAGGAGAGCCTTTTGGGAGCTTCTCTTGGAGCCCAGGAGTGAAGCTTGGGGTACCAGGCGGGTCTAGGGGCCGTGGGCCAGCAGTGCCCACATCCCTTGCCCTGCCTGGAGCTGTGGGGCAGCCCCGCAGCCCTGAGAGCCTCCTGCTGAGCGGGCTGCTGTGCTTTTTCCAGCGCTGCTTCGTTTGCAGCAAGATGGGGGCTGCCATCACTTGCTGGATGAGGGGATGTGGCCGCAGTTTCCATTTGCCCTGTGCCTTCCAGGGTGAATGTGTCACACAGTACTTCAGTCTCTACAGGTAAGGGCTGCTAAACATTGTGCTGGAGCCCCCTCCTTGCCTTCCAGCTCCCTCTTGTCAGCAGAGGACACATAAGTGAGGAACCTGCAAGGACAAACAGCAGCCTGCCATAGACAGAGCCTCAACCTGCACAGGGACTGGGGCTCCTTCACATCTCCTCCGCCCGTCTCTCCATCACAGGGGCAAGTGTCAAAAGACTGGGACCTTGCCCATTCATTCCATCTTCCTTGCAGATCCTTCTGCTGGGAGCACTGCCCGCAGCAGCTACTTCAGGTCGATCCAGAGCAGAAGAGGACCTGCAGCATCTGCCTGGAGACTCTGGATAATGAAAGGGCCTTCAAAATAATGGTGTGCCCAGCATGCCAAGATGCCTGGTTCCACCGGAGCTGCATACAGAAACAGGCTCTCCATGCTGGTATCTCTTTCTGCTGCCCGTGTTGCCAGAACAAAGAGCTATTTGTGTTGGTAATGCTCAACATGGGCATCCGGCTCTTCAGGAGGTTGGTTTCTATCCTCCCAACTGCCAAAGCACCAGAAACAAGTACAGTGCCAGCCTAGGGACTGCCCTGGCAGGCCTGGCTGCCTTCTGTCCTGTGACTTGTCCTCAGCTTCGTGGAGGAGCTGGAAACGGGGTGGGCAGAGGTGTGGGGACTACCTGGATCTGCCTAATGCTAGGGCAGCTAGGGCTCAACACTTTCCCTTCCTTCTCTGTCAGACCACCATCATGGGAGAGTGACAGAGCTTGGAAATTGGACAATCAGCAGCGCAGGCACTGTGATGCTGGAATATGCCTTTGCCCAGGAGGCAGGGAGCAGGCAGAGGAAGAGGGGTAAGTGGCCAAAGCAGCAAGCTGGGGCTCTGCAAAGCATGTCTTTGTCCCCACTGGCTTGGGGAGGAAAGACTAAGAACAAGGGCCCATGTGAACCATCTCATGCCTGTGTCACTGTATCCTCACAACCAGCCACTTGTTTGTTTCCCAGGCCTTGGGAACTGCTCCTGTACTTCTCCTGTGCTGCCGAGGGCACCCACCGGGGCTGCTCCTGCATGAGGACCATCTCAACCCACTGGGAATGCAATGATTGTGCTGGCCAGGGCACAGGTAAGAGGCAAAGCACCTAGGTGCTCCGGGGCTGCATCAAGGCTTGGCAGCAGGGCCTGAAGGTGTGCTTGGTTCCAGGAGGACTGCGGGTACCACGATGGCCTCTCCTGCCCATGGGCTGGGTGGCCTCGCTGCCAACCATCCTACCTCTCCTTGTAGCCTCCCATGACAATTCAGAGGTCGACAATCCCTGCACTGCCAGTCCTGCAGTGCCAGAGCTGTCCCCCAGCACTGTGGTGGTTGAGATGGACAGACGCTCCCAGTCAGGGCCAATCCGTATGCGGCGCATCCTGCGGCAACAATGGCGGGCACGAGAACCATACTGCCGGCCTGAAAAATACCGCAGGACCAGCCTTCTGCCAGTCTAGACTGCTGAGACCAGCAGCCCCAGCACTGTCAGTCAGGTGGTGTCATGCCTGTCCCAAGGCATCTGGGTGGTCAAGAGGGAGAGATGCTCCCAGCCTGGGCCCATCTGGATCCAGTATGCCCAATGGCAACAACAGCAGAAGTAAAAACCCTACAGCCGGCCTGTAGCAAACTGCTGATCGGTCCTGCTCCAGCCTCAAGTGTTGTTCCCATCACCCATCACAATAAAATTGTCTGTTCTTCTGCACTGGGAGATCCCATGCCAGTCATGCTCCTCTGCCTTTCTTAAGATCACGGTCCCTGAGGACTGTGTGCTCTCCCAAGGTTGGCAGTGTCTTCCCTAGACTTCTTCCCTGTGGGTTGGCCTTGCCCCCCTGTCCAGCACCATGGCCATGAGCTTCAGGCCTTGCTGGCCCCTGTAGGCTGCTGTCAGCGTCAGTCCAGAGCAGCGCTTTGCCCCCATGGGATGTTCGCACACCTGAGCCCCATGAGACCTCTGCCTTGCCCAGGATGTCCTGGCCAGGCCCCAGCACCCTGGAATGTCCCAGGCTGCAGTGGGAACACAGCTGGTGGTGAGGCTGCTGCCAGACCAGGGTCACCGTGAGCTCCTTGCTCCAGTCTCCATTCCTTGTCCTGGCTGAGTTGGGAAGTGTCTTAGCAAGAATGCTGTGTAGCCTCTAGTGCTTTTGAAAAAAGTGCATCTAAATCTAGGGAACACAATTAAGAGTCTGATTCTCCATTTAGATTTATTTATTTATTTATTTATCATTGACACGGTCAAAGACTGTCAACTGCTGTCCAAATCAGTATTTTTTATCAATAAGATTTTAATGATCCCAGGGCCTTCATTTAGAAAGGATTGCAAAAAAGTGCACTGAATTGTTGAAGTAAATTTGAGATTTTTATGATAGGTAGTGTTGCTTCTTATAATGTAAACACTCAATGGAGCTGGACACAAAATCTGCACATTAAATAACCATGTTTATTTATGTGATTATTTACTGCAACATTCTAACACATTATTGTTTGTGCTGTAATATCATGTAAAATTCATGGCCATGTCCTATTGTGATGTGCAAACCTATAATAATGAAAAGTACAGTCTATCACCAAAATGTTTAGAGTCCAATTTATGTGTTCAGTTGGGTATTTCTGATTTATTCTATTTCAGTGATATGGCTTACTGTCTCCTTTACACTAAACAATTGCAAATATGATTGATTGCTGTGCATAATGAATTATATAATAACTCAGTCAAATTAAAAGGTAAGGAATCTGATATGCTTCTGCTTTTTCTAGGGCATAAACTGTTGAAAAGAAACATGTTTTATTCCTACTTTATCGAAAAGACAAAATTTCAGTGTTTCCAAGAGTGTCAGAGGCTGCATGCCATAATCGAAGTGAAAAATATCTTGAACTAAAGCCCAGCTATACTAATGGGAATCTATTTACTTCTTTCCATAGGCTTTGGACTTTGTCTCAAATAATCTAATTTGAGGATATTTCAAGAAAATGGAATCTTATTAGGTATCAAGAGGGCTGAGCAGAGTTAGACTCCCATGAGTGTTGCTCTATGATTGGAAAGATTTGAAGGATTGAAGTGGTTAAATCACAAGGCATAGTAACAGAGAAAAATAGGAACTGTCTAAGGACTGTCTAAAGGATTGACTAAGATGACTTCATAGATGTTAACCACTCTACAGGCGTGTGATAATTGCAATATCACAGTTCTTGAGAGAAAATTGCAAGCTATTGCCCTGCCTTTCTAGGATCACATAGCATATATAGTCTGATATAGCAAGTGAATTCAGACTGCCATACTTGCTGATGTAAAAGCCCACAAATTAAAAAATAACATATATGTGTGTGACTAAATATGTACATGGGTCACACATCTGCAAGGTTAATTAACAACATTTTATAAAAATGTGAATCTTCCTATCTCAAAAATATCTAAAGACATCACGTGTGCATTTTGATGTTGTTAATAAAGCACTACATTTTTTAATTCTCAGAAATGTTTCTGTGGAAATGCTTTTTGGGGAAAATTTATTGCATTTAACTATAGCTGTAAATTTTCTCCTCTGATACTATAAATTTTCTTTAAATGTTTAATGGTTTATAACTGTAATTATTCTTGTGTGTCAATATAAAGTTTTAAAAGTTTAATTTGGAGACTATTTGAAGAAACTAATCTTTTTTACAGCCTCATAAATAGTCCTCTGACGAAATGAACAAAGGCTCAGCATCTGCCTGAGGTGAATACAAACGACGCTATGTAGTATCTCACTTGCAAAAAGGAAGCAAATGCTTTGATGTCTCGAGTGATCAGCTAACACTAAGTGCAGCAGCAGTGAACAGTGATACATCATTAGATAGATAAACACAATCCACTCAAGCTTTATAACCATTTACTATGACATATTTCATCTGGAGAATTGAAGATGATGCAGAAAAGAAAAAGAAGGTCAATACTCACAAAACTGAGATTCTGCACCACAGAATATAAAAAGAATGCCAAGTCAGCAGCTGAGCTTCAGAAGTAGTAAATCTGTTTTAGCTAGCTGAATTGAATTATGGTTAAGAAAATATATATGACTAATAAATATATTATGCAGTCAGCAACTATATATGGTCTGATGTCAGACCTAATTTCAGGAAAGTATAACTAGGATATTGCAATTAACATATTCTAAAACCAAGAGGGTGGAGAAAGGCAAAGGCAAGAGAAATGTAATTAGAACCAGTTTTTCCTTTCAGGAAAAATTTATTTAGGATCTGACTTTGCTTGCCCTGAGCAGGCCTGATCCTGATTGCTAACTACAATCCAATGACTGGCACAGCTACTTGGAAGAACCAGCCCAGAATTATCATGGTGGCTGAGAAGACAACCACCAACTCTCCTTAATATTATTATGAAGTGATGTGGACATACTTTAGGACACGCAATGTTTTAGTGAAACATGCTGTTTACAAAGCTGAAATTGCTATTCTCTAGAAAGCCTGGAGGATTTCATATAGTTTTAGCAGTTTCAGTAGATAATTCCTATTATATAGGTATACATATTCATATAATTCCTAAATGAATTTCGAAATGAAGTGCTGAATGTGGCAATCACCTCTGAAAAAGTACTCATCACCTCAAAATATTCAAGGAATAGGAGAAAAGAATACATCTTAATGTCTTTAGAATTCACTGAGGTACACAGTAGGTTGTATTATTTGTGTTATTAATATACCAACAGATTTCAGGTACAGGAACCATGAAAAGTAGGTCTA